AAATCGCTGCGATTCAAACATCTAAGTGCCAGGCCGGTTGCAGTAAGGCAACCCTGAGCCTGTTGCCGCTGCACTGATGACTGGATCTGTGGTTGACAACGCCACTGTGTTGACCACATCTACAGGAAAGCTTCCTGTTGTCACGCGACGCACCCGCAAGGCATCGTAAAGGCCGATCTTGGACGAAGTCGGAAGAGGCGAATCCAACGCAGCTGTGGTCACGTACCAGGAAGCCCCTAGCTGTTCATTTGCCCATGTTTGAGCCAGACATAGTGACATTGCAGAACCAGCAACACTGCCAATCTCCAAACCGGCAAGATCCTCAACAGCAACACCCGGGTCAATTGATGTGCAGTGTCGATGAGGAAGACCTGCCTGGCCAACCAAGTCAAGCACCGCCACGATCTCCTGCGCATCTCCAGTGGTTCCGAAGTGTGCACCACGTACTTCCAGTGCTGTGCCGGCGCAGCAGGCCTTCTGGAGTCCTTTCTGGAGAAGGAACGAGTCACATGTTGAGGCTTTGGGGCTCAAGACCATCGCATTTAGGGTTTAGGGTTTAGGCCGTTTAGGCTATTTTGAGCCTTCGGGCAAGGGCTGGCGATAAGGGTGACAGGGTTGTAATTAACAAGCGTGCTATAAAGCTTCCAGGGGTCTAGGGGTTTTAGGATACAGGGCAGTGACAGTAAGGATGTGGCGCTGGGGTATATTCTACTAAAGTTTGTACTGATGCAACCACATGTAATAACTAGTCCTAACGACTCCTGAGTACCTGTATAAAACAGTGAAGTAGGATTTCTATGTTAGGAATTACCACTATGGTTTGGGTAAGTATCCCCCCCATACGGGTGATTCGGACCCTTTGGGAACTATTGAAGACCTCTTTGCCATGCATTCCTTCTGGTTTGGACTTGAGGTCTTAGGGCCCACAAAAGCACATAAGCAAAAATTAGGATAGGGATATCCCATATAAACCCCCTTATAATGAAGCCCAATAAGGTAGGGATATCCCTATAAAATGCTTATGCTTATGTGCCTTTGGGGCTCTTAAAGGTCAGAACCGAGGATTCCGGGTCTAAGCACGGACATGGCCTCAAGTAACAATGACCCTTAAACTACAGTGATACGGTTGATGGACAAAATCCTGCATGACCTTTTCTACCGAAACCATGGGATTTATGGTACTATACTATATTTGGGTCATGCAGAATTTTGTCCATCAACAGTACCGGGCTGGGGTTCGAGATTTAAGAGTTGCTCCCTATACTTGGACCCTTACGGTAGTCCCTAAACCCTAACACTGCCCCTAAACCCAAAGCCCTAAACTCTAAACCCAAAGCCCTAAAGCCTAAACCCTAAAACCTAAGCCCTAAACTCTAAACCCTAAGCCCTAACGCCTAAACCCTAAAACCTAAGCCCTAAACTCTAAACTAGTAAAAAACATGGAGATGTTGGAGCCCCGCCCACAAAGCCAACGGCTTAAACGGTGAATGCCGAGACCCCTCATCCCCACACCCTGGGCCTTGCCTCTGAGCCTTGAATCATGTAGGGGTTTAGGGTTTAGGG